CAGGAATGAGAGGGTTGTTTGTTGAAAAAGACATTCTCCACTAGATACAATTCTTTTTTTTTCATTTAGATTTCTTCTGTGTTCCCAAACTAGAACATTTTAATGCTCTGTGGTTCTTGTGAATGTCATCTATTGCTTACATTGGGTGCATGGCTCTATGTGTATGTACACATAAACACACAGACATATAAAGATGTATTTTTATATATGCTGTATGTCAAATTTAGACTAATCCTTACCAATACTTAGATTTATCAATTTCCGAGAATACAGTAAAATATTTTATTTTGCTGTTGCTTTGTAATTTTTCTTTCTCTCTTTTGATTTAAATAAATTGAGGATATTCTTACATTCACACATCATCAGGGTTGCTACAGGTGTGCAAATAACTTGCTCCTAATCATCTCAGCCTTCTTTAGCTCATAAAACTTGGAAATATTTTTACAATATTTCATTTATGAAGGGTGGAAAGACTTTTATTCTCTAAATATTTAGAATTCAGAATCATACCCTTAATTCTCAACTTTAAGTGATATCTTAGCAAATTTGCTTATTCAACAGAAAATTTTATATCTTATACTTTTGCTTATCAACACAAAACTAAAATAAATAGATTTTATGAATGGTAGCACTCACCATCACATGATTTTGTTTCTAACATCTGCTCTGGGCACAGATATTGATTCTCTAGCTCTTGTATAATCACCGCTCTGGAACGGACCTGTATTCCACCAAAACCTAGGTCCTCACCATTCACACAGGTCAGCTGACACAGGCTCCAGGAAGACCACTCCTTCAAATAACAGTCACCTGCAAAACACAAGTCTGTAGTTTATACCCATACCCATAAAGAATAGCCAGCCAGATAATCATTTTATGTTTAACCCGACTGAGCAATGTTTTTAGGTATGCCAATCATTCATGATTATTTGTAAGATTTGTATAAGTATTTAATATTTGCAAGTTTGTATGTGGTGGTGTAAGTTTGTATTAATAGTGTTATTTTCTGAGTGGATGTTACTGAGTATAGCATATGTGCTGCTTAATGATATCAAAGGTAAACTATGGTTTGAAGGAACTTGTCCGTCATGATTTCCCTTCTCTTAAGTGACAACAATACTTGATTAAAACCTGCTACTATCACTCTTGTCATTATCATCATAAAAAGGTTTATTAAGCACTGGGTACTATTAAAAGAAAATCGAAATATACATAGGACTTGTCTTCTAGGCATTCAGAATTTCAAAGAGCTTGAAATCCAAGGCTGAGAAAGCTGGTATTTATGCTTGGTTTCTGTTTCTTACCAAAGTTGTGGAGGTGAGACAGCTAACCAAGCAGCTGCAGCAGTGGCAATAATGCACACGATTTCCTCTGATCTACATCTTCAGTCAACTTCCTCCCTTTTTTCAATTATTTATTGAAGAATAATATACATGCAAAATGATGACACGTTATAAATGCACAGATAGCTGAATTTTCACAGTCTGATTAAATACCCATGTAACCAACCTCCAAATCAAGCAACAGAGCGTTCTCAGAATCTCAGAAACCCTCCTCATGCTATATACATGGAATAGAACCATATGTACTTTTTTAATGTCTGGTTTCTTTCACTCATTTATGTTTAGAGAACCATCACATATTTATGTTGCTATAACTTGCTCATTTTTACTGCTGTGCTTTATTTATAAACATACCACTATTTACATTTCGATTCTACTATCGATGGGCATGTGGAGAGTTGTAAATTTTTCCTATTATGAATACTGCTGCTGTGAACATTTTAGTATGAGTCTTTTGGTGAACTTATATATGCATTTATTTTGGGTATGTAACTAGAAAATAGTTATATAGGAATTGTTGGGCCATAGTATATCATGTGTTCATCTTCAACCATTTTCAGAACAGGGAAGATTTAATGAAATACACCTTTCTCGTATACTCATTCATTCTTCAGGACTGACTGCCTGGTGATACTGTTCAGAGGATGCAGTACATTTTGATAAACACAAATCCATAAGGGATTCTTATCGCTTTAATTATTCCAGCCATATCACATGAATAATTTATATTGCCTTATATTATACTGAAGATATCTAATGTTAGCACAAAGTTACCTGAAGATCTAATTAATGAAAAAACTTCTTGTGCCAGGTTTAAGAAATCCTGGAAAGACATGAATTACTAACAGATACATATATAATAAGTGGAGTGATCTTTGTACACCTTTACTATAGTGTTTCATTATTACTCTGTCTAATGTCATCCTAAAATGAAGAAAATTCTAGTAAATTTTGGAAGTGCTAACGAAAAAGAAACTAAGAAGAATTTTTAAGTAGTTAAAGAAAGTTTTATAAATAGTTATATCCCCTAGGAAATGCTACTTTAGGCTTACTCAGTTTTTAATTATGCAAGAGAAACTATTAAAAATAAGATAGAGAAACTCCTGTCAATATGAATGTAGTGTAACTTCACCTCAGTGACTGCAAATTACATGAAAGTAAAATATACCTTTTTACTAATTGGCTTTATCTCTGTGCTTGTATCACTTGACATAGTGTATTTTGACACAAAACTCAATAAATCTTTTAATGGTAGTCTGTGGATTATATAATTATCACTCCAGAATAATCCATGTCAAGCTTCAAAGATTTAATAACAGCAAATAAGTGTGAGGCACTGACTTGTACTAAATATATTTTTATTTTGACCATATAAAATATTGTAATAATAAAACTACACTCTGCCTACCAAAGATATTAAGTGTCTGAAATGCATTTCCTACTTCAGTATTCTACTCTTTAAAGCTTATAAGCTCACATGCTACTAGCTTTCAAAAGCCATCATTGGAGAAAACTAGCAAGAGGAATGAAAATGAATAGATTGTAATTTACAAGAGAAGACCAGCCTCCTCCTGGATTTGTAATTGCTTTAATTAAAATGGTGAATTGCCTGTTCTATGCTACTATGGGATCTTGCAGTGTTTCTTCACATCGTTTACCACAGATTTCTTTTTTTTTAATTTTATTTTATATTGGAGTATAGTTGATAAACAATGATGTGTTAGTTATAGGAATATGGCAAAGTGATTCAGTTGTACCCATACAAGTATCCATTCTTTTGCAAATTTTCTCATTTAGGTTATTACAGAATATTGAGCCAAGTTCCCTATGCTATACAGTAGATCCTTGTGGGTTATCTATAGTAGTGTGTACATGTCAATCCCAAACTCCCAATCTGTCCCTCCCTGCCTTTCTCCCTGGTAACCATAAGTTTGTTCTCTAAGTCTGCGAGTGTTTCTGTTTTGTAAATAAGTTCATTATTATCGTTGTTTTTAGATTCTGCATATAAGTGATATCATATGATATTTCTCTTTCTCTGTCTGGCTTACTTCACTTAGTATGATAATCTCTAGGTTTAGCAACATCTCTAGCAACATCCATGTTGCTGCAAATGGCATTATTTCATTCTTTTTAATGGCTGAGCAATATTCCATTGTATATATGTACCACATTTTCTTTATCTGTTCCTCTGTCAATGGACATTTAGTTTGCTTCCATGTCTTGGCTATGGTCAACAGCACTGCAATGAACATCAGGTGCATGTATCCTTTTGAATCACAGTTTACTCTGGATATATACCCAAGAGTGGGATTGCTGGGTCATATGGTAGCTCTATTCTTAGTATTTTAAGGAACCTCCATACTGTTCTCCATAGTGGTTGTACCAATTTACAATCCCACCACCAGGAAGGTAGGAGGGTTCCCTTTTCTCCACACCCTCTCCAGCATTTACTGTTTGTAGATTTTTTGATGATGGCCATTCTGACTGGTGTGAGGTGACATCTCACTGTAGTTTTGATTTGCATTTCTCTAATACTTAACAATGTTCAGCATCTTTTTATGTGCCTTCTGGCCATCTGTAGGTCTTCTTTGGAGAAATGTCTATTTAGGTCTTCCACCCATTTTTTGATTCTGTTGCTTGTTTTTTTGATTTTGAGCTCCACGAGCTGTTTGTAAATTTTGGAGATTAATCCCTCGTCAGTCACATTGTTTGCAAATATTTTCTCCCATTCTGTGGGTTGTCTTTTCGTTTTGTTAATGGCTTCCTTTGCTGTGCAAAAGCCTCTAAGTTTAATTAGGTCCCATTTGTTTATTTTTGTTTTTATTTCCATTACTCTAGGAGATAGATCGAAAGAGATTTTGCTGTGATTTATGTCAATGTTCTGCTTATGTTTTCCTCTAAGTTTTTAGTATTCTGTCTTACATTTAGTTTTCTTAATTTTATTACAGAATTAAGAAAATTCTTAATTTTCTTTTTTTGCAATATCTTTGTCTTGTTTTGGTAACAGGCTGATGGTGGCCTTGTAGAATGAGCTCGGGAGTGTTCCTTCCTCTGCAATTTTTTTGGAAGAGTTTCAGAAGTGTAGGTTTAACTCTTTAAATGTTTGATAGAATTGGCCTGTGAAGTCATCTGGTCCTGGGTTTTTGTTTGTTGGAAGTTTTTTCATCACAATTTCCATTTCAGTGCTTGTGATTGGTCTGTTCATATTTTCTTTTTCTTCCTGGTTCAGTCTTGGGAGATTGTACATTTCTAAGAATTTGTCCATTTCTTCCAGGTTGTCCATTTTATTGACATAGAGTTGCTTGTAGTAGTCTCTTATGATCCTGTATATTTCTGTGGTGTCCATTTAACTTCTTTTTCATTTCTAATTTTATTGATCTGAGTCTTTTCCCTTTCTTGATGACTCTGGCTAACGGTTTATCAATTTTGTTTATCTTCTCAAAGAACTGGCTTTTAGTTTTATTGATCTTTGCTGCTGTTTTCTTTGTTTCTATTTCATTTATTTCTGCTCTGATCTTTGTGATTTCTTCTAGTAACTTTGGGTTTGTCCTTTTTTCTCTAGTTCCTTTAGGTGTAAGTTTAGGTTGTTCATTTGAGATTTTTCTTGTTTCCTGAGGTAAGACTGTATTGCTATAAACCTTCCTCTTAGACCTGCTTTTGCTGTGTCCCACAGGTTTTGGATCATTGTGTTTTTATTGTCATTTGTCTCTAGGTATTTTTTGATTTCTTCTTTGATTTCTTCAGTAATTCATTGGTTATTTAGTAACATACTGTTTAGCCTCCACATGTTTCTGTATTTTACAGTTGTTTTTTACTGTAATTGATTTCTAATCTCATAGCATGTGGTTGGAAAAATTTCAATTTTCTTAAATTTACCAAGGCTTGATTTGTGACCCAAGATGTGGTCTATCCTGGAGAATGTTTCATGTTGACTTGAGAAGGAAGTGTATTCTGCTGCTTTCGGATAGAATATCCTATAAATATCAATTAAGTCTATCTGGTCTAATGTGTCATTTAAGACTTGTGTTTCCTTATTAATTTTCTGTCTGGATGATCTGTCCATTGGTGTAAGTGGGGTGTTAAAATCCTCCACTATTATTTTGTTACTGTTGATTTCCCCTTTTATGGCTGTTAGCATTTGCCTTATATATTGAGGTGCTCCTATGTTGGGTGCATAAATATTTACAATTGTTATATCTTCTTCTTGGATTGATCCCTTGATCATTATGTAGTGTCCTTCTTTGCCTCTTGTAATAGTCTTTATTTTAAAGTCTATTTTGTCTGAGTATTGCTACTCCAGCTTTCTTTTGATTTCCATTTGCATGGAATATCTTTTTCCATCCCTTCACTTTCAGTCTGTGTGTGTCCCTAGGTCTGAAGTGGTTTGGATTAAATGCTATGACCAAAAGACACAGACCGAATGGATATAAAAACAAGACCCAAATATATGCTGTCTGTAGAGACCCAGCCATAAAAAGAACAAAATAATGCAATTTGCAGGGACATGGACGGACCTAGAGATTCGTCATACTGAGTAAAGTAAGTCAGAGAAAGACGAATATATGATATTGCCTAAATGTGGAATCTAAAAAAATGGTACCTATTTACAAAACAGAAATAGAGTCACAGATACACACTACTATATATAAAATAGATAAGTAATACGAACCTGTGTAGCACAGTAACTCTACTCAATACTCTGTACTGACCTATATGGGAATAGAATCTAAAAAAGAGTGGATATATGTATATGTTTAACTGACTCAGTTTGCTGTACAGCAGAAACTAGCAAAACATTGTAAATCAACTATACTCTAATAAAAATTAAAGAGGAAAAAAAGCCAGTATGGCACTGGCACAAAAACAAAACTATTGATCAATGGAATAGGATAGAAAGCCCAGAAATAAACCCACGCACCTACGGTCAACTAATGTATGACAAAGGAATCAAGGATATACAATGGAGAAAAGACAGTCTCTTCAATAAGTGGTGCTGGGTAAACCAGACAGCTATGTGTAAATGAATAAAATTAGAACATTCTCAAATACCATACACAAAAATAAACTCAAAATGGATTAAATGTAAGACCAGACACTATAAAACGCTTAGAGGAAAACATAGGCAGAACACTCTATGACATAAATCGCAGCAAGATCTTTTTGGATCTACCTCCTAGAGTAATGGAAATAAAAACAAAAATAAACAAATGGGACCTAATGAAACTTAGAAGCTTTTGCACAGCAAAGGAAGCCATCAACAAAACGAAAAGACAACCCACAGAATGGGAGAAAATATTTGTAAGCAATGCGACTGACAAGTTCATCTCCAAAATATACAAACAGCTCATGCAACTCAATATCAAACAAACGAACACCCCCCCAAAAACAACAACAACAATAACAGAATTAAAGAATGGGCAGAAGATTTAAATAAGACATAAAGGTGACCAAGAAGCACATGAAAAGATGCTCCACATTGCTAATTATTAGAGAAATGAACTTCAAAACCATTCCTGGGCTTATATCCAGAGAAAACCATAATCCGTAAAGATACATGCACCCCAATGTTCATTGCAGCACAAATATCATATCACTATATGTGGAATCTAATGCAGTTAGATACAAATGAAGTTATTTACAAAACAAACAGACTCACAAACGTTAAAAACAAATTTATGGTTATCAAAGGAAAAAGGTGAGGGGGGAGGGATAAATTAGAAGTTTGGGATTAACATATACATAGTACCATATATAAAATAGATAATCAACAAAGACCTACTGTACAGCACAGGGAACTCTACTTATATTTTTTAATTATATGGGAAAAGAATCTGAAAAAGACCATATACACAGACGCACACACACACACACACACACATCTGAATCACTATGCTGTACACCTGAAACTAACACAATATTGCCAATCAACTAAACTCCAATATAAAAGGAAAATTAAAAAGATAGGCAATTCACTTCCAATCTTGTTCTTTTCTAGCCCACCAATACACTGTTGCCCCTATATCTTTCTTAAGGCCATACGGTCATGCTTGACACTGAGGTTATTTTGACCTTCTATCTACCCTAAAGTCCTCTGCATCAAGCCCAAATTCCTAATCATTAACTTATCACTTCCTGCTATTTATTACTAAACTACTTGATATACGTTTGCTTTCTACATTTTCCTGCTTGTACCTCTGTGTCCAACACTGAATCAGAATTTCTTTCATTCAAAATTTTCTTCCATAATACTATTTTTTCTCAGTCTTGAATGGTAATTTATCTAGGGGTAGAATTTTAGCTATTATATCTAGTAGCTAATATATTTTAGCTAATATATCTAGGGGTAGAATTTTCATATTCTCCCTGTCAAGCATGAGCCTAAGGCCTTAATTTCCATTCTTTGCAGAAATTAAAACTCGAGGGGGGTGAGTGTCAACAGAGGCCACGTAGGAGAACTGGGCTTCACCCCCACCTGGCAGTAAGGAGGCAGTACCCCCCTTCATCCACACTACAGTGTCTAGCTGTTGGCACAGATATTACTGAATGAGAAGACTACTGACATCTCTTAACTTAAACTTATACATGCAACCCCTTCTCCACCCTGGTCCTGGTAAGGAATGGCCAAAGTACGAATTCTGTTTTGCTGTTGTTACCTGGGCAAGGCTGGGTGCAGGTTTCCTCAAGAACCACTTTTTTATTACCATCTATAATGGGTTCGATATCAGTACAGAATTCTTCATCCACTACCTTGCTGAAATCATCAGCTGACCCATCACTCACTACACAAGAAATATTCCTTGTTCTGGTCCCTTCACCACACTGGGCATCCTGAAATGGAGGAAGAAATAATTAGGAAAAAAAAAAAATTCATTAGTTAGCTTATCACTTACAGTCATCTCTGCACCATTGATTTTGATTTATGAGCAGTTAAAGGAGCATTTGAAACCCTAGGGAAGAAGTCCTATAGGGCAGTAGCTATAAAGCATAGCATGAACAATTTATTTGTTTTCTAGCCAAAGACAGGCAAATAAATTTTCATTAAAATGAATCAGTCTCCAAATGGTTTTAAAATACAGGACAGGGAGTGCTTGTTATCGAAACTAATTAAACAGTTATGAAATGGCAAGGTACCTAAAATCTTTAACAGGAAACATGCTATCTGTAAGCTCTGAAAATATTTCTGAAACCAAGTCTCTCCAGATAAAGAATACACACTTCCATACAACTTTTTGAGATTGGTTACCTGCACTTGGCATGCAGACCACTGGCTGTATTGCCACCGATGACAGGGCTTCACTGGGCAAGGCTTAGACTGTTCCATCAGGGCAGGGCATGGTCTTCCATCACCCTGAAAGGGCTGGGTTACTGTTCTTCTTCGGATCATTTTTCCTTTAAGAGATACAAAGTGGTGCAACCTCAGTGATACACTACAGTTGTGCAAGCATATATATATATATATATATATATATTTTTTTTTTCTCACCGCTGTGGCCTCTCCCGCTGCAGAGCGCAGGCTCAGCGGCCACGGCTCACAGGCCCAGCCGCTCCACGGCATGCGGGATCCTCCCGGACCGGGGCACGAACCCGTGTCTCCTGCGTCGGCAGGCGGACTCCCAACCACCGCGCCACCAGGGAAGCCCAAGCATATATCTTACTGGGAGAAGGCGTCAAAGACATTTCTTCCGAGATTAGAAGAACAAGTAAGGCTTAGATGTTTTGGAAAGAGAGATACCCTGATTCAACCTTTCTGCAGATTATTTGATATGACTTAAAGCAAGAGGGACATTTTATTTCATATTCCTTGACCATCAGTCTAATGCCAAAGAAAGCACAAACAAACCTGTGAGGCCACATGTTTGAGAACACTCTGACCAAGGAGACCAGTCAGAAAGCTGACAGTTCACAGGACATTCCACCATGCAGGACGTGTTCATCTGCCAGTTTTTCTCCAGGCCAAGCTGAAAGGATAGAGGTAGATCTATGTGTACGGACAGGAAGGCATGACCACAGTGCAGTGTTGATGGAGGGAAGAAGGAAGGGCAAGATTGGAGCGGGGAGGAGAGGAGAGAAGAATAAGCAACACGCATAATAAAATAAAAAGATGTCTGCAGGACAAAGACCCAAACGGTTAAAAATATAAAGTGGTTCAATCCAGGAGAGTGGGAGCAAAAGGAACAGGGTGAATAGAGGAGCCCATTTACTCAATATACTTATATATTGTTGAATTTTTTTATATAAAAAGTGAAAAAAGGAAGATTTAATCTCCAAATTAGTTGAATTTCCCTAAAGGAGGAATAAATAGGTGGAAGCACAAATATTTTCTATTAGTTCAAAAGCAAGAATATCATCAATATACAGATATATAATTGTATTTGGGGGATATTATTTATTTTTACATGTGCATGTCAAACTGAAAAACAAGAGCGAGGTTAAAGACCAATTGCCACTCAAAACCACAAATATAATGTACTAAAATAATATAAAATAGTTTTAAAGTAAGCTACCTCTCTCAAAAGGAGGGGTGGGTCACTAGAATTTTTATTATGAGTATTTTATATACATTTTTTTTTAAAGATTTTCTCTTCTAAAACTGATCTCAGCAGCTAACTGTGGTGTAATTGTTATTTTGGCATTAGTCTCTCATCAGATAATAATGTTGTGCCTTTTACTGCATTAAGTAGCATTACTTATTTAAGTATTCTACGTTTAAAATGAAGGATGAGATTTCAAACTCATCCACTGTATATTCGAACATTTAAAAAGTCAAAGGTACAAAGTGGCATTGAAATAGAAAAATTAAGAGCGTCTTAGGAAAGTGCAGTTTTTTAAATTAGTCATCCTTGGGGATTTTCAAGACCTTTTTTATTTCTGCATGAAAGTAAGTTGATAGTGTCTAATTTATAGAGCAGAAAATGGCAAAAGAAAGTTTTTCTGAAATGTTATGTTGCGGTTCAAGTAGAACTCTTGGCTCTAAGTTTTGCACTGAGAGAGGATCAGATCAACGATTTATGTACCAGATCTCTCTGTGAACACTCTCATTATATTCTCCATCAGTAATACTTGACAAAGCTGAGTATTTGGTATGAAAACTTTTACCATATCACTTAATTTAAAATTAAATTAAATCACTTATAATCACTGGAGATTAGAAGTTTTAAGGTGATACGATAAAAATGATGTGTTAAATTTAAGGTACCTAATAGTTTCATGGAGAAAGGTTTTGAATCACAGAATTCAACTACTACTGGCTTATTTATTTTGCTAGAGGGTTAAAAAGGATGTCTGTTTACAGATATTTTGGGTACCCAGTAGTAAGACATTTCAACTGTGTACTACTTTTTCTCTTAAATTTGTTGTAGCTTCTTTTTCTCCTCTCTCTCTATATCTATCTATCTATCTATCTACCTATCTATCCTATCATCTATCTAATCTATCATTTATCTAAACATATGTTCAGGGATAAAAGAATAGGAAAGGAGAAACCAGTTATTAGGTATCTGGTGAATTAATGTCTGAAAAACATCAAAGACAAAAGTGCTATATAAATGCTGGATGGATTTAACCCTAATTTTCCTCTTTGTTGGACAGTAATGCCATCTTTCTTTTGGGCTGTTAGAGAAACAGCAAGAGTTAGCTACTGCTATTACACTCAATTCAGGGTTTGCACATGTATTAGTAGGTAGGCAATCTACTGTTAAAAAAGATAGCCAGCTTTTCTCAGGGCTATTATTTAAGTCTACTGCTTTTTAGGGTGGATAAAATGGGATATGAGTTGTTTAATCCAATTCCTACAGAGACTAGCACTGCTCTCCCTGAATACAGGGTTTACTAAAATGTTACGATTTGAATCCCTGTCATCACAGTATTCAAACATTATAATATTTGTACATAAAAGTAAATTTATCTAGGCTCCTGGATACTTAAAATTATTTCTCAGGTTTTTACCCACGTTTCACTTAAGAAATTAAAGGCCCTATTTATATCTTTGTCCTGTAGTCATGAGATATTTAAAAACTGGTCTTGTATGATTTGGGTTTAGCTTTCTAAAAGCTCTCAGAGCTATTAATAGTTATCTCATTCTGACCCAAGAGGACACTTACATGTGCATTTGCAAAAAAAAGAGACATATTAACCAACTAGAGGTAGACCACAGAAAGCTCTCCAGCCTGTATATAACTATAATAACGTTCATTAATAATAATGTTATTTTTATAATGGTCACATCACTTCGATGTTATTAGTTTCAAAGCCAGACTGATTCAGGTATAAAATTTCTGATGAAATCTAAAGCAGTAATTGACTAAGTTATGTTATAAGATGACAGAGCAATTTATTAACTCAACAATTTGTTTTCAGCACACTTGGGAGCTCTGTTCCCATGGACAGAGATACAGATAGTTAAATTAGGTCCACATGATAATATCAAAGATATCAAATGGATTAAAATATTTCCATCTTGAGTTTTCCCTTAGGAGTTTGAATAATTTACCATGAGCTTATAATAACCCCTAGAATGTGTAGACAGACGTCATGGTCCCAAGTCTACTGAACCCTAATGAGGTTATAAGTTCCTCCCGGGTGTTGCAGGTCTATGGAGGCTGTTGCTTATCTTGGTTCATGTTTAACCCAGTGGCCTCGGATGCAGGAGGAGTCAAAATCTGTCAGGAATGTGAGTGCCCTTTTGGTCTGGAAACCAGACAAAATAATCAAAACCCAAAGTGTAGCTTCATGAAAACTACCGAAGGACAACAACTATGTTTTCTCGCGTTTCCTAAGGTCATATTAGAAATGATAACATTACTTTTGTAAATTGGAGAATTAACAGTTACAGTTCTCTGTACCCTAAAAGACACTAATGGCAGACTCTATTCCTTTGTTTGAACTTCAAGCTCGCTCTTATCCAGACCTGAGTCTTAGACTCTCACAGCTGGGTATTAGATCCTAATATCAAAATCTGCTACCGAACCACATGCGATCAATGTTTTGCAACAGAGAGAATAAATGATGGCTCTTGGCAGGTGTCCCAGGCAACACAAAATTCATATGAAATTACAAAAGATGATGAGTAGTCTGATTAAGATTTATTGCCTTTGCTCACCTTGATTACTTATTGTTCCCCAAGCATTTCTTTCAGAATAGGCTAATTAGCATACCTTTGGGCTCCAAGCAGAACAAAATACAGGAAATTATGTGTAGAAATCAGTAGTGTTGGACAGTGTCTCTTTTCAAGAGAGTGTCTAGCAGCCTCTGAATAGTGCCGAAAACATCTGCTGGCAACGAGCTGCATAAAGCGCTGGTCAGGTCACTTGGCTCAGCATGAATTGAAATTATTAGGGAAGAATTTACTCGCAAAGACATAACAAAGCATCCCCTCACCTCTTCACAATATTTCAGGTTAACCGACTTGCCATCACTTCGAACACAATCCAACATCCTTGTTTTCATGCCATTTCCACAAACTGCCTTCTCACTCAGCTGGCACGTACTCCAGTCTGGAAGGAAGGGAGCATATCAGAACAGAAGGCTATGTATGAACCGGATTTCAAATGAAACTCGGATGACCTGAATCCCATATTTAATTCACAACTGCTTCCTAAGCCCCGCAATCAATCATCCCACACGCAGAGCGTATGGGCCCCGGCTTTGAACATATCTGGAGTCAAATGGAAATGCTGGCGTTGCACATCGCTACAGGGACTATTCCTGAGGCAGATGTCTCCCTGACAATCTTGCTAGCTAGCTGTTTGGTGATACTGTAGAAATGGCTGTGGCCTGCAGATCAAATGTCATTTAAAAACTTTTTTCCTAACGAAAGTAGAAATTTAAATTTCAACATTTTTATTTAAGCAAAATAATCACAATTTTAATGGCTTGTACTTTAGGTAGTTGTATCCACATAAAACTGTCTTTCACTTACTGTCCGTACTGTAGAATACTGTAAGATGTACGCTTATTTATTTCAAAATCACTTTGGCCATATTTATTTAATTCCCTTTATTATATGTCTTTTGCAAAATAATTCTTTCCAGAGTAATGTAGCATGCCCCAGAGAACTGTGATTTCATTGTGTCATGAAAGGAAACTGAAGAGAAAAACCAAAAGAAGCAAAAAGTCAATCTGACTCCTGTGTGTCACTGTACAGTTTCTGGGGTTTATTTTGGTGTGATAAACCAAATTTGGGAAAAATTCCAAAATAAGCTTCAGAGTTGCCCTATGTCATACAAACCATGAAAGTCTTCTTTCCTAGAGTATATGCCTTGATGGTATGAGATGAGGGTTTGGGAAAGACATGGAATTTAGAATAAGCCTTTTTTTCTAAAAAACACTCATCTATCTTTTGTCACCTATACCTTTGATAATATTTATATCTCTGAAATGTTTATATTCTCTTCACGCACTTCTTGGAAAGCTTAAGATTGCTGATGTCTTTACAGCAGACTAATCATGCCTATGAACTGCCCCCACAGAAAGAATTGTTGTCCCAGTATTCACAGTGATTAAACACATTCTGAAGAAGAAAGACATCTTTCAATAAACTGATACCCATGGGAAGATATATCTTTTATGTGCACCTTCTGCAAGTGGGAGGGTGGCTTAAATAGGAGCCCGTAGCCTATTCTCCGTCTGCCTTAAGAGCTAATGTTTGTGTGATAATTTCATTCTCTATTTTGATGTTTATGAAAAATAAGGCAGATAAATATTTCTTTCATTTAATACGGAATTATTTCTGGGAGAGTAAGCAGCGTGTCCAAAAGGCACGCAGATGGAGTTGAACAATACTTCCAGAAATGCTGCTGAGCTGACAGACGTGGGATTTGGCCTTTAACTCTATAAGGAGATGACTATTCACATACCTGTTACATTATAATCATAGTGGAAGCAGTTTTTGTTCAGGTTACAGGGTTCCTTCTCAACAGCATCAGGGCAGGCTCTTCCTTCATCAGCAGGTTGTCTGATGGGATCAGCTGACCTTTGCCGGAAACTGCTTTGATTGCAAGGCTGACAAAGAATAATATAACTCCTCAGAAAGGTGAATACTCAGCCACGCAAGAGCTAATGTATTAGGGAGAGCACCAGAGCAAGAGCTAGAACCTTTGGGACACTGGCTAACTTAAACAATCTTATAACACCTCAGTTTCTTCATTTATAGAATCAAGGTGTTGGATGAGTTTCTGATGTTCCATCTAGCTCTAAGATGCTGGGAACAAGGAATGTTGTCTGCCATTCCAGTACACAAAGAATGTTGCCTGCTGTCTCAGTTCTACAATGATCCAGGCACCAGCCACTGCAGCTGCTGCAGGTGATGTGCCCTGAGCGAAACAGGATGGGGAAAAAGAGGTAGCATTCTGTGCTTTGGATACTGACCCAAGATAGTTAAGATACATGTCTAGGGCATAATTTCAGTGAGCCCAGATTCTTGCATCTTCCTATACACAGGAAAGCACTAAAGTCATTAACTAGAGATGTCTGTTTCAGTGATTAGCAGTAATCTTTTGATATCTGACTGTATGTTCTTTCCCAGCAAAAAACTCCTGTTTATCCTGGATCCTCCTTTACCTTTTCAGAGCAGTTCATCCGAGCTATCTAAAAGGTTGTCTCCCAGGCTATAATCCTCAGTAAGATCCCCGAATAAAGCTTAACTCGCAACTTTTAAGCTGTGTGTGTTTCTTCAGTCGACAATGCTTAAGAGATGTGTCTAACCTGAAAAGATATCTGCACCCCCTTTTTTATTGCAGCACTATTTACAATAGCCAGGATATGGAAAAAATCGAAGTGTCCATCAATGGATGAATGGATAAATAAGTTGTAGTATAATTATACAGTGGAATATTATTCGGCCATAAAAAATGAGGATTTCTACAATTTGTGACAACATGGATGGGCCCTGAAGGCATTACGCTAAGTGAAATGTTAGACAGAGATAAACAAATACTGTATGATCTCACTTATATGTGCAATCTAAAAAACAAAAGAAAAAACAAAACTCATAGAAAAAGAGATCAGACTTACAGTTACCAGAAGTGGGGGTAGGAGAGAAGGGAGAATTGGAGGAAAGTGGTCAAAAGGTACACATTTCCAGTTATAAGATAATAAGTAGTAGGGATGTAATGTACAACATGATGACTGTAGCTAACACTGCTGTATGTAATACAGGAAAGCTGTTAAGAGACTAAATCTTAACAGTTCTCATCACAAGCAGAACATTTTTTTCCTTTATTCTTTTCTTTCTTTTCATCATACCTATTTGAGAAGATGGATGCTACTGAACCTATTGTGGTAATCATTTCACAATAAATGTAGATCAAACCATCATGCTATATTCCTTAAACATACAATGATGTCTGTCAATTATTTCTCAGTAAAACTGGGAGAAAAAGAGCCTGTGTGTCAAATATTAATAGATACATCACATCATCCATACACAAACACATACATATGGTCATACTAATTATTATAGATCACTAATACAGAAATTATAATCTATCTATTTATCTAATATAGTTGACAGGACCTGAAAAATGGTTTTAAGGGTGAACTTTAAATAACTAGTTATATACAACCTTTATTTTCCTAATGTGCACACATATATGCACACAAACACAACTTAGCACTAATTAAAAAGACTGGTTGCCATTCTCCTATTGGTACAGTCTTGTTTTGAAAACATTTGGTTACTAAGATAAGAAATAGTAACTTCAAATCTGATGCTATGGAATTAAATAGAATAGAAAATCATTTGCATATTCTTGTGAAACAGCTGATTCTTTTGTGGCCTCTCCTGTTGCGGAGCACAGGCTCCAGACGCGCAGGCTCAGCGGCCATGGCTCACGGGCCCAGCCGCTCCGCGGCATGTGGGATCTTCCCGGACCAGGGCACAACCCGCCTCCCCTGCATCGGCAGGCGGACTCTCAACCACTGCGCCACCAGGGAAGCCCGAAACAGATGATTTTTAATTGCAATTTAACCTGTATCCAAGTCAACTGCCAGCCCTGTTTTGCTCCTGCTCTATCAGTTGGCTGCTAATCAGCATCTTTAATAATGTTAACACTGAAATAGAAAATTAATTTCTCCTTGAAAACATGTATCTGTCCCATATTATATTTCAGCAAATTAATTCCACATTAGATGTATCTTTTCCATGATTTGATGCCATTCTGAAGTGTGCAGCTTTATAAAGGTGCACAAGGGTAAGCCAAATTTCCCACATCACCAGCCAGTTCTGTTTCAAGGGCCTCTTCTCCCAGGGTCTCATGGAAGAGGCCCTACGGGCTGCTAAAATCTAGAAGCTTTGTGTGATTGGAAACTCTCAGCTGGCTTTCCAGGCCCAAAGAGACTCAAGAGTCAGTGTGTGGAAAGAGATTCACTGATGCACAGCTTTCTTCTTTCTACTCCCTTTCTTAGCAGGATCTTCTGCGTTTTAGCGTCAATACTCCTGCTGCCGTACCCCTACTGTGTGAAAGATTATTCCTACAATTTTAAATGGATTGGGCAAAAAGCAAGGGATGATAATAACCTGACACCATTAAAGTATTTTTACTAGATTTTCATTCTTTTCCCCTTTACCTGGAGGGAATCATTATCACCACTGCAGTTTTTAACATGCTGTGAATTCAAAAGCAAATGTAAAGGCATTTTGGGACTTCCCTGGTGGTGCAGTGGTTAAGAATCCGCCTGCCAATGCAGGGGACATGGGTTCAATCCCTGGTCTGGGAAGACCCCACATGCCGCGGAGCGTCTAAGCCCTTGTGCCACAGCTATTGAGCCTGCGCTCTAGATCCCACGAGCCACAACTATTGAAGCCTGTGCTGGGTTTAGGAGGACGGTGGAGGAGCATAAAGCTTGCAAGAGGTTGAGCTGTTTCAGTGTGAGTCCAAACATTGCTGATTTTAAATGGCACAGTCATAAGAATGAAGTAGCCAAAAATACGTCTTGCTTTGGTAACTAATTTAGTAACTAATTTAGTAACCAAGCTATTATTTTCTTAATAATATTTTTAAAGCTTTAGTGGTAAGGAATTAAGCAAATTCTACATTAATAAATGGTTAATTGTCTCACCAAAGTGCATCGGGTCCACGGACCCCATTCAGTTATCACACAATCCTCGGGACATGGTAATTTGCACTCTCTAGAGCCCAGAGGCATCTCTTCTGGGTCACAGAGGTAATCGTCTACATGGTCAGAAGGGCCATCCGCCGTGTTCTGCATGCATCTAGAAGAAAACATACCTATCAGTGAAGGAACTGGGACAACTGAACAATGGCCAACCCGTAAGGTACAAGGTTTTTCACAAGACATCACCATGGAGGTGGGGGGTGGGAAGCTTTGCATTTAATGAATAAAATTCTCCAAACATAAAGACGTAAAAGGATCTCTGCCTCCCATACCTAGTTGTATAGCTAATGATTTAAAAATCTATGCTTGCATGTATCATCATAATCTTTTAAAGTTATAGCCACTGTGTATACACTCTGTGTACATAAACTATGTGTCTTCCTCTTAAAGGAGAGGGTCATTTACACCCATATGTGATGCAGAAACTAATGAGTTCACCAAAAATATTCATAGATGGGTTACAATTTTGGAATATAATGCATGTTTTTCTTCTGAGAAAAATGGTGAATTCCATGGAGAAGGCAGATTCATATATGATGGAAGACAAGGCACACTGAAATCTCCTAGGGAGAGATTTCAGTAAGTGGTGTTGAGAAAGTAACTGATGGCATTTATCAAGTTGTTTTGTCATTTCAAAAGTAATTTTAGCTTCCCGTCTGCTGATAACCTTAAAAGAAAGGCAGAAGTGAAGAGACAATCATAAGAATAATAGCACAAATTCTCTAAACATGGTTGTTGGCATCTTCCTATATCTTGACCTTTTTTATTGTTAGTTTTCCTTTTAACAGAACAAATTCAAACATTTTATTACATTTCATTCTACTGTAAGCAGTCATAAAGGGCTCCTTAGTCATCTCTTGGGAATCTAATTAGTGTGGCTAGTACCAGACTTAACTTTTACTGTAGTTAATAATCTCTCAAGGCACTTTTCGAATAGAAGAGAAAAACTTTATCCCTCATTTGTAACTCAGAGAAGGTCAACCAAATTAATAGGTTTGGGAAGAGAACTGCATTGCAGGAGATGAAAAGGAAGGCTTGAGCTCTTAAGCCTCTCAAACCCATTGCAATGTTTTAAACTGTTGGTTGCATTACATTACCAATTATACCTGGAATGTCAACTTTTCTCAGGGATTTACAATCAGTAGGGACATTGCATCTTCACAAATCTCCTCTGCAGAATCACGTTTCTATACAGCGCTGCTAATTTTAAGAGAAATGTGGTTTTCCTGTGGAACACATTCAAAGACTGGAAAACTAAGCTGTTGGTTATGTCTTAACTGGGTTTGTAAGCTGGAAGAATATCCACACAAATACCCACCTCTGCAGTTTTTTTGATATTGAGTAAATATATAAAAGGTAATCACAAAAATATGCAAATGTAGACAGACATTTATACAGTTTCATTGTTGAAGGAAAAAAATAAATTATAAATTTCTCTGGGAGAATTTTAGTTTCCCAGGAAAAAAGTTCTAGCTTCAGTGGCATTTTAAAAATGTTCTGTTGACAGCAGCTATGAGAGGACGGAGCAGACGGGACAGTTCAATCTCCAAAGTTGGATTTGCTAAGAAAAGATTACATTAATGTGAGGCCCTGACATGATGTACAAGGATTAACGTGCAAAATTACCTATTGATTCAAAGTTAAGGACAGATGTTCAGTACTCTATTAAGTAGCTATGTGCATAAAACTTTGTTTTCAAAGGTATTTCTTTTCCTTCGATTTTTATTGTACAGGTAATAGATTCATTTTAGGAAAATCACAAGAAATAATAAAAATTCACTACATTCTATCAGAGATAACCACTCTTAACAGACTACTATATTTAAACATATATTTTCATTTCATTAAACAGGAGCAAGCTTCACCTACTATCTGTACCATTTAGGAAAAACATCAACAATACATTATAAAAATCTTTTTGTGTTATTAACTGTGTTTCTAAGACATAATTTTTAATGATTACATTTGAATTCCATCATTTGAATGTGCCACAATTGCTAAAAAACCCTTCCTGTTGACATTCAGATTATGTTTTATTTATTTGAGTTAGTATTAATGATACTTTTATCACTGTAGAATAGAATAAATATTTGGATCAAGTCTTGAGCCCAAAGGGAAGCACTTTAAGTTCATTTGCTTTCTTCAAATTCCTGGCCTTTTCTCCTTTCCATAGGAGAAGGGATTATGCTGTGAGAATCCTGAACTATTTTAGAAAACAACCACCAAGGTGGAGGCCAAGGGTGGGCCCAGATGCCCACCACAGTTGTAGCAATAAGGGGGTGCATTGCCTGCAGAAAATTCAAAAGCAACAACAGAAATAACCAAATCTGTTTGGTTTTTATTATCATCATGTGCTGGCAATTCTACAAAAATGTTAGTGAAAAAATATTCCTTCCCAGCAGGGCAAACCACTACTATTACTCAGTCTTTGATGTCACACCATCCTAAAAGAGAAACAATGAGATATTTTGAAACCTGCTCTCTTATAGACTCTTCTGTCCTGAAATGTCACCCAATGCTTGCATCTAACAGGACATTTGACCTTAATTAGCAGAGGGTAAGGTTTGGGAGGTATACTGCTGAATCAAGAAAGAAACATTATTACACAATCAGAAATTCCAATCAATACTCATCTTCTCTTTTCTCCGTTTGCCTTAAAAATGTTTACTGGAAAAATAAGTTGACCAGAAAAGTTAATTTGTTTAAGATGTGTTTGGAAATGTTGAGAATACCTATTCATAAAGCAAAAAGAAGCAACATATACACAGATAGCCGAAGGGAAAGCCGAAGGAAGTTCTTTATTATAATTTTTTTACTAACAAAAAACACAACCTGATCAAATTTTTAATATAAGAAAAATATTTTTATATTTGAAAGAGACATTTTAAATTGGGCAGAAGATTGGTAGAAAACAGAATCTCTGTCTTTTTTCTTCCCTGTTTCCCTATTAACTCATTACCTCCACCCCACCTCATCCACCTTTAAAAGTTACTCCGTAAAATAACTTGAGAGTTCAGATGGGCTTTTGAAAAAAGAGATAGAGACTATTTTTACTGGAAGAAATGTTTTACATAGTGTGCCAAGGTTTTAGGATATAAATGTTAACATGTTCTACTTTCCTATTGAAACAGATTAAGAAATAGGAATCTTAAATTCATGAAAAATTATGTCACGAGTGAGAATGGGATTCTTCACAACAGGAGTTGTCAGGTTTTGGATGTTTTTCTATTTTTCTTTACTGTGTGTCACTCAGCAGAGTTAGAAGAAACTGGTTGTAGTTAAAGAGTGACAAGAGACTTGAGTTTGAATGCAACTGTCACTTTACTAGGTGTGTGCTCTCAGCACACTACTTAGTAAGTACTTCTGAATCTACTCTGTAAAGGGGAGATAATAAAGCCTCATATACTTGTTTCCCAGGTTTGAGACCCTTAAGGATCATATGTAGATGGTGTAGGGAGAATTTAATGAGTTAATTTAATTGTATTACAATTATTACAATAATTTAATTGTATTAGGTTTTAGGGGAGTTCTGTGAATATGACAGGGTCTCAGTTTGGAGAAACAGGATTTAATAAAGGGGACAGACATGTAGATGGATCTTTCAAAACAGAGAGGGGTGTGTGGGGTATTATAGAACAAGGGTGCTCAGTAGAGCTTTCTATGACAGTGTAAATACTGTGCTGTCTCACAGAATTGCCACTAGCCACCTCTGGCTATCGAGCACTTAGAATGTGTCTAGTGTGACTAAGGAAATGCATTTTATTTAATTTTAATAGATTTAAAGTGAAACAGTCACACGTGGCTAGTGGCTGCCCTACCAGACAGAGAACAAATGAGGGGCACTAGCCAGCGGGGGGGTTTAGGGAAGGCTTCCTAGAGCAGATGAGAGTATTCAAAAGATAGCCAGTTTGATACAAAGGATAAAGAGTTTACAAAAGATTATCCCTAAGATACAGTTAGAAATATATTTGACCTTTAAGGAAGAAGTTACTGGGGTTGGAAAATCTGCATTCATTCACCTCACATTCAATATGCAGCCCTTTCCCTGCAAGAGTACCTTGAAGCAAAGCTTCCTAAAATCAGAAGGCAGAGGATGATACACTGCTGCTGGAAGCAGATCCCTTTAGAGCTTTCTATGAACACAGACTCCATAAAACTAAAATTGAAGACAATTTCATTCAGGAGATTGGGAGGAGGGCAAGTTCATGTTGGCACATGTGAAATCGGGAGGTGGCTGTGCCTTTGCTTCTCTGTGTAACTAGGCTTGGCCTTACCTCACTTTTCGGGTTTGCACGCCCTCTCCACAGTTGTCCCGCATGTTCACAAAGGTCACCTTGCAGATGCTCCATGGCTCTGTAACCCATATGTACTGGCTGCAGTCACTGTGGCAAGGGACGACCTCATACACCTGAAACACACACGGTTCTCAATGACCTCACCTCACGGAACCCCATGAGGTAAGTGGGAACACTTCATATCACAGTTATCATGATATTCTTGTTTAGCTACTCTGAAGCCTTTCCTTTACTGTTCATTATTCTAAAACAGGAATATAGAGGATCTCTTGAGAGTTCTAGCAGTGAAGGGTATGGCTGTGTTGTATTGTGCTGCTCCTCTATCACATTGCAGCTGGAGATTGGACCTCATGGACCACACCAGACACATTCCGTACTTTCCTAGACTGACCCTTACCACATAGTATTGTAATTTCCTGGGCCATATGTCCTGTTCACAGTTTCATGTGTCTTCAGTACTTAGCCCAGGGTGCTTGCTCATATGTCAGGCATTCTATAGAGATTTGTTGAGTAAGATGAATAAATGAATAAAAGAATTAATGAATTAAGTAAGCATATAAAAGTAGCCATTTTCAAATAAGTATAACTTGGCCTGTTTTCTAAATAAGTATGTATACCAATAAGAATTTTGTGTGTGTGTTCCATATTTGAAACTAAATTAGAAGATAAATAATATGAAATAAAGTTATCTTAAAACTAACTAAACCTCAGAAGCAAGGTCTGAAATTGGTCATATTACACAGGTACAAAGCGGTGAGGGCCACATAAAACAAAGCAAATTGTCTCTGCTCTGGTGCCCATAAAGGCTTGCAGCCCCAGGTTTGAGTGGTGTGGTTGGCTGTTTCAGGATTTTTAGCACAATGAACCAATTATGCTCTTTTCTCAGTGAGAAAGAAGAATGACTAAATAAATGAAAAAAACGACCATAATCCACTGCAACAGAGGTGACTCAACCATTAAAGAAAAATGTCTCTCTTAAAATCATTTCAAAGTCTATGATAACTCTTATTTCCTATTTTACATACACACACACACACACACACACACACAAACTACATGAATATTTTATATAACTATTTAATTCCAGAAAATATAGATTTAAATAGTCCTCTGGAGCCATTCTTTTGTGCAAATTTTAGTTTTACTAAACATCCAAGTAAAGTGAATAAAGTGGACCTATTCCACATAGGAATAAAAAGTGTTCACTGTTGGAGTGAGAATCTGTAATTACTGTCATAAGTTATCACCTTCACGTTGGGTGCTGTATTAAAATAGGACTAAATACTATTTTAGTATTTAGTAAAATATTACCCTACAAGTTGTGGGGAAGGGAACAACTGAAGGGGAAATGCCACCTTTCCTAATCCTTTGATGGCTTTCATTTTAATCTCCTAGACTGGAGTGAATACAAATCAGTTCAGAGCCACCTCCTGCTACCGCTTTGAGCCCACCTGCACCTCTCCCTCTCCCTCTCCGAGAAGCATGCGACCATTAACAGGAGGTGTCATTGCCTTTTCAAGGGTGGTGAATTATGCTTGTTCTCCATTATCCCTGTACCTTAGGCCCTGATAGTAAAATGAGAAAACACATGTAATATGCTAGGAAAACAAAGGGAATAGCTGCAGAAGAAAATTGTTATGGAAAACATGCTTTCCCCTATAAAAGATAAGAGAAGTAGCAGGAAAAGAAATACATTCTCTGATGTCAGGAGTAAAATGAAAACAAACAGCACTCTATTATGAACGATGAGGTTTAAAAGTTCTTACCTGGGCCTGGAGTAGTGTTCACCAGGAATGAAGAAAAGAGAGAGAAACAAAGATAAGTTAAACAAAGATAAGTATATTTGATGAGAAGAACTCATGTTCTAAGTTTCAAATATTATCCATATATAAAAGGTGGGGTTTTTTTTTGGTAAATGATTAGAACATCTTTCTTAGACCTTAAAAGAGAAAAACCAACTCCTTATTACTGTTTAAAATTAAGATACACAAATGAGTATTGCAAACAGCAAGTTAAGGAAAGGATTTGATGGGCAGGATGAAGAAATCAAACTGAGTAGATGTCAAAATATGTATCATGGGGAATCAATATATGACTGCAAATACCTTGTGGTTCAAATTGTGAGTGGACTATGTATAGATTGATTGACTGACTGATATATTGATTTTAATCCATCCACCCACCCATATTTCTGAGGAAATGGGGATTTGCTTCCTCAATTGGAAAATGGAACATCAGAGATCATTTCCAAGGCAAAGTACAACTTAATTACTGAGGAACGTATAATTGCAGTAAAAATCTATATGATTTACAATTTTCAACTTATACAAACCTCTGCATATTCTTTACTTTCCTAACATTTTACTAACAAATAAATCCCTAGAAGTTTCTATTTTTTAATGTAGAACATTTGTGCTCAAAGTCAAAGATTCAGGAATCTATTATTTCTTGCTTTAGCTTTGATTTTTCCATTGTTTATGTCTCAGTATACCACCAGTAGGCTGATAACAAATACTGAGATGTCCTTATCATACTCTGCATTAGATTATATCAGAGTGACAGAGAAATGGCTTAGGTTAAAGAGTTTTTAAGCAAAGACAACTTGGTACAACCAATTTGAACTTCTTCAAATTCACTGTTTAAAAAATGCTAAGGCAAACAGCTCATTTTAATTTTAAAATCTGGCTGTTCACATACACACTAAAGGTATGAAAATGTGTAGAATTTATTTGAATCATGGATAAAAATTTATTAAAATTTAAATTTACTATTGGAAATTCAAGATTTCAAAACTTGCAGAACAATATTCTTTTGTATTATAAACATTACATTTCAGTTATTCTGTTTAATCGGGGTCATGCCTTTTCTTCTTTGGAAATATTCACTAGGACAGAGAAACTCGATTACCAGTAGATGGCAGCAGTGCAGTATATTATTCACCTTCAGTTGTATTTAAGGGCAAGTTCAGCAATTTTTCTTTGGGGGGGAAAAATCAACATTCTTTTGGAGTACTTTCTATGCAAGTTAATTCTCCACTTTCTTGGCCCTTAATCGATTTATTCAAAAGTTATTTTTATTTTCTCTATAATTTACTTTTATTGTGATGAACAAATTTAGATTAATTTGGGAAGGCAAATATATGGGTAAGCAGTGTGTTTGGAGATTAAAATTAGAAAATCTATGTGTGTATGAAACATACCTACATATTTAAGGTTAGCTCATACATATGAATTGGTTCATTTGTGACTTAAATTTAAACATACATCTTAATACCTACACATATTGTGTGAAATTCACTCTTTGTTAATTCACACGTAGGCCAAGCATGGCAATAACTGTCTGATGAATCTTATATTACATTAAACTAGTCACAATTCCCCCCCATTAGACATTTTATTTCCAATGGAACACGAGTAACAGCTATGAACTGCCGCTAACAAGGTGTGCGTCCGAAGTCAAAGAAAGTTCCACATAAGATTGAAAAGGCCAATCACCAAATTGATAGATTAACATACGGTTACTTTGATGCCATTTTTATATTTCTTTTTCTTTTTTTAATTTATTTTATTTATATATGTTTATTTTTGGTTGCTTTGGGTCTTTGTTGCTGTGCGTGGACTTTCTCTAGCTGCAGTGAGTGGGGGCTACTCTTTGTTGTGGCGCACGGGCTTCTCATTGCGGTGGCTTCTCTTGTTGCAGAGCATGGACTCTAGGCGCACCAGCTTCAGTAGTTGTGGCATGCGGGCTCAGTAGTTGTGGCTCGCGGACTTTAGAGCATAGGCTCAGTAGTTGTGGCGCATGGGCTTAGTTGCTCCACGGCATGTGGGATCTTCCTGGACCAGGCCTCGAATCCGTGTCCCCTGCATTGGCAGGCGGATTCTTAAGCACTGCGCCACCAGGGAAGTCCAGTATATTTCTTTTTTCTTAACATATTTCATATTGAACTAACTTAAGTAAATGTACAGAATATATTTCCCAATTTTAGACCCAAACCCATATACTTTCTTTGATTTTAATTTATATACTTGGTAATTGAGATGTCTTTTCTGAGAGTCTATCGGATCTATCAGAAAAAGACAATCTTGCTCTCAGTGCACAAATTATTGTATAATAACAGATTAATACCTTAACAGTATTTCAAAAGTAGATTTCATTTTTATTTCCATTGAATTATATTGATATGCATATACATGTAATACAGTGTACTAAATAAATCTCTTGAGAATACAGAGCATAGGCGTAGTTGTGGCGCATGGGCTTAGTTGCTCCACGGCATGTGGGATCTTCCTGGACCAGGCCTCGAATCCGTGTCCCCTGCATTGGCAGGCGGATTCTTAAGCACTGCGCCACCAGGGAAGTCCAGTATATTTCTTTTTTCTTAACATATTTCATATTGAACTAACTTAAGTAAATGTACAGAATATATTTCCCAATTTTAGACCCAAACCCATATACTTTCTTTGATTTTAATTTATATACTTGGTAATTGAGATGTCTTTTCTGAGAGTCTATCGGATCTATCAGAAAAAGACAATCTTGCTCTCAGTGCACAAATTATTGTATAATAACAGATTAATACCTTAACAGTATTTCAAAAGTAGATTTCATTTTTATTTCCATTGAATTATATTGATATGCATATACATGTAATACAGTGTACTAAATAAATCTCTTGAGAATACAGAGATCATCTATCTGATTTGGGATTTTAATAATTAACTCAGGCATTCTAAAGATAAAGTGGGTCAAATTTCTTATTCAGGGTCTATTATTTATTCTTCTCTATTTTGGATTAAAAAAATAGATTATTGTGCACCTAGAAAATATTTTACAATATTCCCAATGGTAGAAAATACCTGGTTGACATGGTCCAGTTTCGGGCATGGTCTTCCTCCATTATAGGGTTTTTCACGCAGCCATTTAGACCGAACCTTCACACCACTCCCACAGGACTTGCTGCAGCGTGACCAATTGGACCACTCACTGAGCTTGCAGTCTGAGGGACAGGGGATGATGCAGGCCTCTTCAATGTAACCTGAGTGGAGGAAAATGAGACAAGAGCCATCTCCTCCACATGTCACTCGCCTATTACTACCCACCATTCTAGCTCATTTAGAAGGTCCAAGTTTGACTTCACAGCAACATGCAAATGCAGAGATGTCTCTGTCGTTAAGGACTCAAATTAAATTCTGCAGGAAAATAACACATACATACAGTCACTCTGTTAAAATAACAGCTGAGCAGCTGTCATATGATCTACTTAGGATTCATGCTCACCATATTTCAACATTTCTGACTTCCTGACAGCTCGTGTTTAATTGACAATAACCTGTCTGCTGCCATATCATTCTCATGTGGCCAGACTGATACATTAAAAAAATTTTAACAGTTTTCTATAAAATCCTATCTGTTAATGTCACACAAGTTCAAGTGTCTGAGTCCATGCAACATTCTTCCTCAAGAAGAAAGCCAGACTCTCTCAACCAGTATTCAAAAGGAACCATTTAACTTAGCACCTTATGGTTCCCCTTCATTGAAAATCAAGTCTGAGGAAGAAAAATGAAGGATGTTAAATAAACAATGCCTCATATTTTTATAGTGCTGTCAATTTCAAAGCACCTTCACACCTTGTATTCATTTGATTCTCTTGCAGGTATTATAAATGTATTGGGCATGTACTGATGCTCTACTGGACAGAAAAGAAAACAAATACAGAGAGATAACTGACAAGTGCAAGGTCACACAGTAAGAGATAGGGATAGGATTTCTGAGGTCTAGTCTAGTACTCATTCCATCAAATCACACAGTCAATTAACTTAAGAGTCTACAGATTTTTTTTGAGAAATGGGAGCATTTTCCTTGACCAGTCCCTCACTACCAACTTGGCATTTCACAGCATCAGTTTATCACTATTGTTCTCAAGGCAAATAAGTGGAAAGAGCAAAATTCCTCTGGTCAAGTGTTGAATGTTGTTGTCTGTCACACTATGGGGAGTGGTTGTTCTTGAAACAAGAAAACACTCTGCTCTTACCATTTTACATCAACATCAAAGATTCGATTTTGAAAATCATTATAATGTAAACAACTTATACTAGGAACTCTAGGTAGATTTTTAAAAATTTTATTGAGACACAATTTACACACTATAAAAATCAGCTCACGTTCTGGTCTCTAATATAGTCTGAGTTATGCAACAATGACCACCATCTAGTTTCAGAACATTTTCATTACCACAGAAAGAAACCCTATACCTATTAGCAGTCATTTCCCATTTTCCCCTCCCTGGCAACCACTAATCTACTTTACATCTCTAAGAATTCACCTATTCTGAACAATTTGTAAAATGAAATCAAACATTATGTTTTATGATTGGCTTCTTTCATTTAATGTAATGTTTTCTGGAATTTTCTATGGTATAGCATGTGTTAGTAATTCATTCCTTTTTATTAACCAAATAGCATTCCATTGTATAGATATATCATATTTTTTTATCCTTTCATCAGCTGATGGACATTTTAGTTGTTTCCACATTTTGTATATTATGAATAATGCGGTGAATGTTTGTGTACAAGTTTCTGTATGGACAAGCTTTCAGTTCTCTTGGGTGTATATCTTGGAGTGTATTTAACTTTTTGTAGCAGTACCAAACTGTTTTCCAAAGTGACTGTCGTGCCGTTTTACAATTACACTCACAAGGTATGCATGTTCCAATTTCTACATTTGTCAAAACGTATTATGTCTTTTTTATTTTAGTGTCCTTTGAAGAAAAAAAGTTTTAAATGTTAATGAAGTCCAATTTATCTATTTTTACTTCGGTTGCTTGTGCTTTGATGTCCTATCTAGGAAACCACCCATTTTTTTCTTCTAAGAGTTTTATAGTTTTAGTTCTTATATTTAAGTATATGATTCATTCTGAGTTATTTTTGTATACGTTAAAACGTAGGCAGTCCAATTTCATTCCTTTGTATGTGATTATCAAGTTACCCCAGGCCCATTTGTGGAAAATACTATTTTTTCTACAGTGAATTGTTTTTGTACCCTTGTTGATAATCAGTTGACTATAAATGTAAGGGTTTATATCTAAATATCTAAATATCACTCCACTGATCTCTATACCAGCACCATACTGTCTTGATTACTGTCACTATGTAGTACGTTTTGAAATCAGGAAGTCTGAGTCCTCCTTTGTTCTTTTTCTTCCAAGAAAGTTTTGGGTTCCTTACATTTCCACATACATCTTTGAATCAGCTTGTCAATTTTTGCCCCAAATGGCAGATTTTGATAGGAATTGTGTTGAACAGTTTGATCAATTTGGGAGTATTGCTATCTTAACAATCCAGGTACATGGAATTTCTTTCCATTTATTTAGGTATTCTTTAATTTCTTTCCGTGATGTTTTGTAGTATTTAGTGTATGTCTTGCACTTCTTAAACTTATTCCTAAGTATTTTATTCTTTTTATTCTAGGCAGATTTAAAAGAGAGCCAACAAAACACTGATTTCTTTTATGACAGTGAAATAAGACCACCTAAAAACCAGTATGACAGATCTAATCTATAAACTGGTGCCCAAAGTGTCCTGACTTGATACAGTGTTAAAAAGCTAGCCAACTTACTACATAGTATTTCCTAGCCTTGCTTTATAAATTACCTGGAATACATGTTAAAAGTACAGGTTTCTGGCAACCCCAGACATTAAAATACAGTTCCCTTGGGATAGTGCCTGATTTTTGGAAATTAATATATTTTCTTGTGTTTATTCATCACTCCCTCTCTTTTTAATTGAAAATTTTCTTATTAAGGTAATTGTAGACACATATATTTGTAAGAAATAATATAGAGAGGTCCCCTGCATACTTTCCCCAGTTTCCTACAATGGTAACTAAAGTATAATTTCAACCCACATACTGAGATTGATACAATCCATTGAGTTTATTCAAGTTTCACCAGTTTTACTTGTACTTATTTTGTGTGTGTGTGTGTGTGTGTGTAGGGCTGAAATTAAGGAACTCTGTTGTAAGACACAGGAAGAATCAGCAAAATCTGGGTGAGAAGCAGTTTTGTGGTATATTTCTCTCTATATTATCTTCTATATTTTTGTCAAATATACATATCACCTGTTTTAAACTTATTGTAGACTTCAAAGTGTATCTTTCAAAAGCATAAAGTTCACTGAACACATGCATGAAACCCACACTACTCCAGAACCCTCTTTTGTGTTGCCTTCCAATCACTACCTCTTCTCACATGGGCAACTACTACCCTGATTTCTTATAACCTAGAACTGTTTTACTTTAAAAAAAATTTATGTAAATGGAATCATACAGTATATACCCATGTGTGCTAGCGTTCTTTCACCCTACGTTGTGATGTGAGATTCATCCATACTGTTGCATGCTGTTGAAGATTATTCATTCTAATTAATGTATAGTACTCCACTGTGCGACTATATTATGGTTTTTTAATTCATTCTATTGTGTGTGAGCATTTGGGTAGTTTTCAGTGGCAAGCTATTATCAACTGTACTGCTATGAACATTCTAGAACATGTCTCTTGGTGAACATACATATGCATTTCTGTTAGGCATATTCCTAGGAGTGAATTTGATGCCTCAGAGGATATGCATATTATATCAGCAAATTGTAAGTATAAAAGAAAACATTTTTAAAAAGATGGGATCATGAATTTGGTATGAAGAGCAGGATGCAATGAAAGAACGCTCAAAAGTGGGAATTAGTCTCAGAGAATCTTCAAGGCGGCCGACGTGTCAGCTGGGGCTTTGCCAGCTGTGAGATACTGAAGACAGAAAGAAGATGTTAGTGTTGAGTTTTGAATGTACTTCTGATATTGAAGAAGACTTTTGGAGTATTGATAAAAATCAAAGGGAAGTCCAATAGAGAACTGAAAAAGTACTTTACAATAGTGTTTACCAAAATTTTGAAAAACATAACTGTTCTTCAAACAGATTACCATGACCTACTTAAAGCTCATACTTTAAGTATGGTTTGAGGTGGGAAAACAAGCCCAGCTCACTATTTTGAGTTAAAATATGTTTCAGATCACATTCTCCTTTTCAATCAACACAGCCAGTAAATAAATCTATAAAGTGTGCGATACTTAAAAGTGTAACTCCTGATAGGGCCAGTAATAATTTGTGTTTTGTAGGAATAGTTTAAGAAATAGAATCAAACTGTACAAATGTCTAAAGTCATTTCCAAATGAATGCCATCTGTAACCAGATTATTTAATGTTTGTAAAAGACAGTGAATTAAGAAGAAATCCCAACTATTTCCAAATATTATCAATAGCTTAGTTAAAGGACACTAGTATTTCGAAGGTAATAAATTATTGAAATATTTCTAGAAGTGCATTTTCCACCTTGCTAAAGATCAAAATGACTGCAAAAGTAAACCTCTTTTTGTTATTCAGTAATTATAGCTGAAAATAGAATCACATGAGTTTTCATGTCACTACTTCAGAGTAACAGATAAATGGAAATTCTTTCTTTCCATTTTATCTGTTGAAGTATTATGGCATTGGTGAAATATGTCATGTCTGACCTTAGTCTGATTCACACTGTATTTTCAAGTAGGCAGATATAAAATTTTTATGTTGGATCTTCCAATAGAGTATTCCAGAGGACGTCTCTCAAATAAAACTCAATCTATTAAATTGTTGAAAGATACAAATTAGGCACTGAGATAAAGACAAAACTGCAAAAGAGTATAATGCTTAGCATTCCACTTTAATCTTCTAGTGTGTAACAACATTCAATAATTGCCTTTCATGTTTATCTAGTACAATTAAAATCCTTAATGCTACTAGTGAACTGCTAGATAAGCATTCCCCTGTCTTCTCTGCTAAGATCATTTGTGAGGGCAATTAACGCCAAACAATCATGGGGGATAGAAGACAGAAACGTTTGAAGCGTTTTAAGGCTAAATAAACTGCTGGTATCTTGTAGCAATTTATGGCTCCTGAGGAATGCTGGAATAAAATAAACGACTTCACAATTAGGGTGTTAAAACTTTAGTAGCAGGCTTCCCTGGTGGCGCAGTGGTTACGATTCCACCTGCCGATGCAGGGGACACGGGTTCGTGCCCCGGTCCGGGAGGAGCCCACATGCCGCGGAGCGGCTAGGCCCGTGAGCCATGGCCGCTGAGCCTGAGCGTCCAGAGCCTGTGCTCCGCAACGGGAGAGGCCACAACAGTGAGAGGACCGCGTACCGCAAAAAAAAAATAAAAAACCTTTAGTAGCTCAATACTGAACCTGACACATGGAAAAATCAAACTCGTGGCTTCTGATTGTATTTTTTGTATCTATATCTATTCTGATGGCTGCTTTCAGGTTGAAACGAATACAGAACACTAGCAGGCTTTATGTGGCAACCAGGGGACTTACTGCCTTTGACATATATCCAGTCACCTCATTCATTTGAATTATAAATGTGCAGATAAAGTAGCTTTCAGAGCAACCCTCACGATTACTATATTGTGCTGTTGAAAGGTGCACTGTTGATAGATTAAATAATTTATTTTGAAAGCACGTGGAAAATATTGGTTGGTTCTGATTTACAGCTGTGTGAATGAGCAACGCTGGCACTCTCTCTGAAACATCTGGATTAATCTCAAAAGAGACCTGAAAAATCTCTCCTACCTAAATGTGTGTTATATGCACATGACTGCAATCGTGAATGAGAACACTTAGCTAGAACTTTATCTACTGTGGTCCCTGTGGATTTGAAAATACTGAAAAAACTCATTTAAAAATATTTTCAAAATTAACAGAATATTCTTTTGTAATTATATATTAAGAAGTGATAACTTGAAAAGCTGCTGAAACTAAACTACCCTGTATATATCCAAACTCCTATAATCGACTGTTCTACCCAGATTCTTATATTCAATGTATGAAAAGTTATGAATCAACACTGGGCAATCAAAATTTTCATAGTGAAGCGTTCAGGTAAATTTATGTAACCGCAATGAAATGCTACTTCATTTATATTTATTTGTTTTATATACATATGAAGGCATATCTCTTCATATCTGCTAAATACTTACAGATTTTCTCAGAAAATTTCAACATTGTTTTTTTTAAATAATCTTATTTATTTTTTACTTTTGGCTGCGTTGGGTCTTCATTGCTGCACGCAGGCTTTCTCCAGTTGTGGTGAGCGGGGGCTATTCTTCAATGTCGTGCATGGGCTTCTTATTGTGGTGGCTTCTCCCATGGCAGAGCGCAGGCTCTAGGTGCACAGGCTTCAGTAGTTGTGGCACGAGAGCTCGGTAGTTGTGGCTCACGGGCTCTAGAGCGTAGGCTCAGTAGTTGTGGCCCATGGGCTTAGTTGCTCCGTCGCATGTGTGATCTTCTCGGACCAGTGTCCCCTGCATTGTCAGGTGGATTCTTAACCACTGTGCCACCAGGGAAGCCCTCAACATTAGTTTTAATTGCTGTGGGATTTTGTAGCTGTTGCTATTCCAATACTGGGAGATTACCCAATGACTAGGCACCTTCAGATTCAGGTAGCATACCTATGTACGAGTTCACCATCAAGGCCATTTCTTATAGCAAACTCTAAAACTCTCTGCTGTATAACAAAGACTTTGGCTGGTCTGTTTCCCTGATTCCTGGGAGGCCGCCTCTAAGCCCTGACATTTCCTGAGTGAGAGGAGTATCTTTGTTATTCTTGTTGGGCCTCTTGGACTACATGTGAAATTATGATAAGAAGATGTCTAAGGAAGGGGTATGATTACACCACCAAACCAAAGACCAACCATGTGTTTAAAAGGTTGGGACTTTAAGCCACTTGATATCCTCCCAAACTCTGGGGAGAGGAGATTGAGTTCAACTGTGTGGTCAGTGATTCAACTGATGCCTACATAATACGACCCCCTAGAAAGCTCTGGATACAAAAGCTCAGGCTGGTAAAGCACATCCATGGGCCAAGAGGGTGATGCCTCCTAGCTCCATGGGGAGACAACATGGACGCCTTGTGTTTGGGACCTTCCCAGCCCTCGTCTATGTGTCTCTTCTATCAACTGGTTCTGATTTTTATCCTTTTGCTATAATAAAACTGTAATTGTAATGGTGCTTTCCTGAGTTCTCTGAATCGTCCCAGTGAATTGTTGAACCTGAGGGGCTAGTGGGAATCCCCAAATCTGTAGCCAGCTGGTCAGAAGTGAGGTTGACCTGGGGACCCTGAAACTGCACAGCTAGTGTCTGAAGTGAGAGCAGTCTTGTAGAGGACTGAGCCCCTAACCTGTGAAGTTTGGCCCAAATCCAGGTGGTCAGTGTCAGAATTGCATTCTACTTTCAGATGTATATTTTATTTAAAAAGGAAGTAAACTTATTTATGAAAGAGCCCGTATCTATAGTTTACTTATTCAACCAAATTAAAACTTTGGGAATAATTACATACATTAAGGCATTTATGGACGTTTCCCCCCAAATTTAACATTTATAACTTTAACTAATATTAAAATATTAACTAATATTAAAAATCAGAAAAACGTTCTAAGAACCCACTTTGGAAGTAGGGCTTTGTCAGCAATATAAACATCATATTTGATGGAGTGTTCAGATTATGAAGTAACAGGAAATAAATTAACTTTGAAATTTAGTAGAGTGATTTTTTTTAACTTGATCCAATGCAGGGCACTGTTCTTTCAGTCAACAAGAATCATATACTGACACTGAAGTATTTCCAATGGATAATCTTTAAACAGTAGTTTGCTGGATTCTAGTAAGTGTTAAACATAATTTTTATAAAAAGCATTCTGTGGTCAAATAAGTTGGAAAATTGTTGCGTTAAGCAGGTCTCTTCACCCCGAGCTTTCCTTCTCTTTTTTTTTTTTTTTTTTCTGATATGAACTGTGAATCTCTAGGAGAATGACTCAGACACTGCAGTCTATGCTTATTAACTTTTTCCTATAGCATCTCACTGGACCAGTGAGAAAAAGATCAACAGATCATCATGATATGTTGTAATTATAATGCATTAAAACTGGATTCATGTTTTGAGCTGTACAGATTTAATGTTTAATCAGGCCTTTTATGTCCATTTCCAGATATGGAAAAAAATGCAAAAGTCAACAAACAAAACCCCCAAACTTAAGAAAGTTTCTTTTAAAATTATTTTATACTTTAAAGTTTTAAAGCATTAAAGGTCAAACCTATGGCAAACGGAGAGGAAACTTATGCTGATAAACTTCCTGAAACTTTTTTAACGACTATTTGAAAAGACCATTTTGTTTTCTGTAAATTAACTAAAATCTCCTGTAAGGGCTAAATTGGCCTTCAATGCGACTACGAAGAAATGGGATAAACATGAAAAGTAACTACAAGTAAAGATCTTCCTTTCAAATTTAACTTTAAAATGTCCACAAATGTGTTGGTGTGCTCTCAGGTTACTTTTGTTTGTTTGTTTGTTTCCTAAATTTTATTTAAGAATTCATACAAAATACTCCAGATAACTGAGTTTCAATCCTCATCTCCCTCCTCTTCCTCATCTTGATTAATCTGGAAGTAACGTAATTCGTAACTTTCTTTGCTGTTAGCAACTACGCGTAACCAATCACGGAGATTATTCTTCGTCAAATATTTTTTGGTGAGATATTTCAAATACCTTTTGGAAAAAGGCACCTCGGAAGTTACAGTGATCTTGCTTTTGCTTCTTTCGATTGTTACAATACCTCCTCCGAGATTCCCAGCCTTTCCATTCACTTTGATTCTTTCCTGAAGAAACTGCTCAAAATTGGCCGCATCCATGATTCCATCTTCTACAGGATGGGTACAGTCAAGAGTAAACTTCAGGACCTGCTTCTTTTTTTTGCCCCCCTTCACCACAAGCTTTTTCACTGGCGCCATCGCCGCAGCGGAGGCAGAAAAGGGTCAGGTTACTTTTTGAGCCCATTGATATGGCTTATGTCTAACAGATAGTGCCTTCTTCATGCATTTACCAAAGAAAATTCCTTATGCATAAGCTTTACTCACTGCATGACCATTTTGATGATGCTGTGAAGTAGAAAAAGACCTATGTTTTAAGACCTATGTTTTAAGAATGAGACTAAACTCAACTAATGGGACAGAGAGCTTTACAATTATTTTGGATTGCAGGACATTAATGTAACAGGAATCTATATGAGGGTCAGTATCTTTATGAATTATGAAACCTTGTAACACAACGTAAGTAATGAACAACTCTGTGATCTGTATCAATAACATTATCATAGATATCAGCAAGATTACCACTCCTAGCCATTTCACTGAAATTAGCGTTATCCTTCCTCTAAGGCATTAAGGGGAAAATGGGGTCAGAGCCCAATTGAAAGGATGTGGAGTAAAACATAGTAGCAGAACTTGTTGATAAAGGCAAAGAAAAACAAATTTTTTTGTTGCTGTTGCAAATAATGAATTGTTCTTGGCAGTTAAATTTATTTTAAGCAGTGAAACACTTTCTTCCTAAAAAGCTGGAAAGCCCAGTAGGTGTATGAGATATTCTGCGGGCTATGTTTGACAGCCTGGCCTGAGGGGCTCCATGGAGCCCAGTTTGAAAACCTTGTACGTAAGTAACAGATGAGTTGAGGTCTCGGTGACATGGAGCACACAGAATCAAATGATAACACCAGATGTTTTTCCATCACACACGACATGATGGTAACTGCAGGAAAACTTCCAAGGAAAGTCTCCCTCATCACCTCTATAGTCCTCCTTCAGGAATCCTGTTAGAAAATAATGCTGGTATCCACACCTTATTTAAATTCGACCCTAGACACCTGCTTTCTTTTTGTACCCACATATCCACAATAGCCCCTTCTTTATTTCCCTGGTTCTTTAAACTTGCAACTGCTACTTCAGGAAAAGTCTGTTCCTCACTCCCTGCCTGTCTTTTACATTTGAAAGGAAAAAGATCTCAATTGTGAATGATAACTGCAAAAGCAATACTAGCTTCATCTGTACTGTCAAATGAAAGATTTAAATTCTGAAATGAATTAGACATTAAAAAAAAAAAAAACTACCAACTGTAAAAGCTTTTCAGAGAAATCAGAACTCCATTTCAGCTTATTTACAAAACTCTATTGCCTTTTCTCCCTGGTTTAATTAAACATGCTCTTCCTCAAATACAAGCATCCACTACGATAGGGCACAATTTCTCACTCAATTTTGTTTCTAATTAACCTCTAATATTAAACTTACATGATCTTCTATAGAATCCCATTACAAAAAGGAATACATTCTAGGTATATTATTGTTGAGTGGTCATGTAGGTTAACCTCAGAATCTACTCTCCTCATATTCATAATTATTTTTATCAGATGTACCCTGAGTTCGACAATGTCTTAAAAGTACCTGCTCTTGAACTAAAATCTACTTGTAGATTGAGTACTCTCTGAATTTTAAAAAAATCAGTTGGGCACTTGTACCACAAATACACCCAGGATGTATTCCTTTTCTAAGTTTTGTTGATGGTCTTTTTTTGTTCCTGTAAATTCTAATAGAAAAAAACCCCACACCTGTGGCATGTATACTAGAATTTATGACTGAATAAGGCAGCATCTGGTATTTACAGTTCCTTACAACATCAAGGGATGTCATTTAAACATGATACCTGCTTTAAAATCATCCATATCATAACTTCGGGAGACTGGTGAAATAGGATATAGATCGCTTAGGCTATTAGGCAATAATGTTAAATGCTGCCATATAAGGGTCAGCTATAGTTATAATATGAAAATATTTTATTAAAAAGCTTTTGTTTCACTTGTAAAATTTGTAGAGCTTTCTTTTTATTGTAATACTTAATGCTGTAGCGCAAACTACCTATGAAACAACCTGTAAGAAAGACTTTGAGTGCCAGCAAGGGTTTTACAAAATATCAAATTTTAATGGGCATACTTTGAATCCTACAGATGCTTACAAAACCAACTGATAAAGCCATTCATTAATGTTCAGAAGGTTCTCTGTAATATCATTCATAAACATACTAGGCAAAGAGAGAAAGCTTGGAAGAATTAATATAAATCATTATATTTAAACATTAATGTTAAAGGGAAATTAATCTTACACTAATAAGGCATTAGACAAACTATGCTGAACAATTCAATAGTGACTACAGTTAAAAGACAAACTGAAATAATTAAAAGGGCGTAATGTGACCTAAAATAAGTAGTACGGCTGTTTAAATGCCAGCATGATGGTCAAATGGCAGTACAAAGTACTGAGAATTTTAGAGTCATTGGATCATGAATACTGAGTGCACAAAGTCAAATGCACACAACACTTCAATATAATATTGTATTCTGCTTATGAATAGAGCAGTAAATAAACCCAGAACTCTCACTTATTTCTCTACCTGAACCAAAAAAGACTTTCCTCAGGGCAATCATTAACTTGCCAATATCCTTTCCACAGAAGATCCTATAGACTCATTCTGTTTTCAGAATCATACCTACACAGGCATTCACTTTATAAAGACACATCTTTGCAAATTTCAAAAGTTTCCTAATGTTCTCTTGCCCACAACTGGTAAGCAAGTGAACTATCTCTTGTGAGGTGTTGATTATTTTGCCTAAGACAGCATCACATTGTGATCCTCTAGGAAATGATCTTCACAGGCCTTTCACACCAAGGTTAATAAAGCTCATGATCCCTACCAAACCCTGTGAGTGTCTGCATGACCCAGAGAAGTAGTCTTAAACTTTAAATGTGTTATAGAACCCCCTGGGGATCTCGTCAGAATGCAGATTACCATTCAGCAGGTCTGCAGTGCAGGTTGAATTTTGCATTTCCAATGGTTTTCCTGTGATGCCTATGCTGCTCCTCTGTAGGTGGCATTCTGAGTAAGAAGGGTTTAAATCCTAGTTGGCAAATGACAGCACAGGCTGACAGCCTGTTTTTGTAAATAAAGTTTTACTGGAACATAATTGTGTAATTCACTCATATATTGTCTATGGCTGCTTTCATTCTATAACTGCAGAATTGGATAGTTGTTACAGAGACTTTTTAGCCTGCAGAAACCTGAAATATTTGCTATCTGGCCCTTTAGGAAAACATTTGGTAACAAGTAATCCAACCAAATAGCTGATTCTTGAGTTTCCTCATGGGCTCTCCAAATTGGTATTTGATAGGTATCAAAGCAACATATTACTTTTAGGCGACAGGAGACCTATGTATATTAAACAGCAGGGGCTCAGGGAGAACAGTCATATCAGATAGGCCTTTCTGCTTACTTGATATTAACAGATGATAAAATATCACAAATAAAATTAAGTTCAATTTTAGAGTATCTATTGATAGTACATTATGGCTTAAATTCCCTATAAGGAACAGCAAAGACAAATTTGCTGAGAGTAAAGATTGAAGAGAAGTGTCTGGAAGGAACTATGTAACTCAAAGAGTTCAGCAACTGACATTTTTACACTTTATCCAATTCACCTTCAAAGTGTTCCTTTGAGATAAATCTAATAGAAATGTTATTCCTTATTTTCTCAAGGAAAGATGAGTGGACACAAAGAGAATTAAATGAACATTCCATACTCCCAATTAAAGTTGTAAACACAGGCTGGGAAAAAGCAAGTTGTCACAATTACTGATATAAACCAAGAGATTAAGCTGTTGTCCAAATCTGGTGTTGTACAAAGCAGGCAATTCTGAACAATAAGCTTTGAACTGGAATAAAGAGACTTACCAATATTGATATTACTGGACTAATTCAGTGGAATGGGTGTGTGACTATTATTTCTTCTACCTACCAATTAGTGGGAGGAGAGAAGCATAAATATTTGATGAATATCATATAGAAAGTTTGTGGCATGTATATAGTTTATTCCAAAGATCTTAGTTGTTCTCAATGATCTGTTTGATTACATTCCAGAACTGTGACACACAGGGAAGGACACTGTCTGGAAAAAAGGAAGCGCCCAAGCCTGATTGTGGATCAAATACAGCTACAAAAATTCTCTCCACCTCTTCACCCGTTCATTCATTCTACAAATATTTACTGAGCACCTACTACTGTTCTAGGTGCTTGGGATACATGAGTGAATAAAGTAGTCCAAGATACCCTCATCAATCTACATTTTTGTACAGGATAAAACATAAATAATAGATACAATAAATAAGTAAATTATATGGTATGTTATAGAGTGATACATGCTTTTGAAATACAAAAAGTAGAGCAGAATAAGGGCTTTGGGGAGATCTGGGTACGATTGAGGGGCAGCATAATAAAATTCTATCACTTATGTTTAAATGAAAATCTTGTATATGTGTACCTTGCATAAGCTAGGTTACCTCTAACATTCTTTAAAATATCAAGATTAAATGATATAATAAAAAAAAATTCCAGAAATTCTACCTCTTGTTCTGTGGAATTTTAGAAGTGATTAACTTGAAAAGTACCTAGTACTATGTGCCAAGGCAATCAATTTCTAGTGAACCAATTAATTAAGATCTCAGAGTATTCTAGCAGTAAATGTGTAATTTGGTTTTTTAATGATTTATAATCTGTTGCTAATAGTGACAGCATTCAAGATTTCATACCAAAAGTAAATATACATGATTTGTATTATGATATCAGGATAAATGCCAAAAAATGTATTTATATATCAACGTTTATGCAGGAACTATATTTAATACCATATATCAGGATGGATGAACACTTATGTGGCTCCCAAGGTATACTTTAAGATCTGATTTTTGTTGTATCGATATATTGCTTTTCAGTACAGAGTCTATTCTTATGAGAAATTCCAGACATAATAGAATTGTGCCTCGAGTTTCAGACATTAAAAAAAAAAAGGTGACCACATGGGAAATGACCTAAAATAATATACTTAAGCTGATGAAAGTCAAACTGTTTTATCAGTATAATAACTGATAATATGATCCACAGATGTATAACACAGATTAAGTAGAAATGCCATAAGGCCACTATTGAATAGGGTAGGGGATTAGTGTCTTTGTACTGCATGCATGTGGGGATCAATTTTATGTTTAAACTGAAAGCCATAAGAGACTTTTTCTTGAAAGCCACTTTAAACCCCATTCCCACCATTCATCTGGAAGCTGCTTTGGCTGAGCAAAGGCAGTGCTTACAGAAACTGCAAGTTAGCGCATGCCTAGGATAGAGCATCCAAGTGACAGCACTCCACTATCACTATCGGCATTGACAGAACAGCAGCAGTAATTCCAAACAAATCAGGCAAGAGATACTCAATTTCCTCATATTGAGTAAAAATGTTAGTGGACACTAAAATATCCCATTAGACATCCATCTTAGTTCAGATTTAAGGAGAAAGGAGTGATGTTGGATAGGCACAAAGAACTAAACTTAAACAGTGAACAGTTCACTTAAACATCTCAGATCCTTTCATAATCTCCATGAAGTTCAGTGCTGCCAGGGACCCATCTTTTTTTCTACATGTGCTTTTCTTCTAGAATACGCTACTGAATTCTTCATGCTTTGAATTGACAGTGCTAAGGCAGAAAGTCTACTGCCTTTGGCCAATTTCAGTTTTTCTGTACTTTTATTTTCTTCAAGGGATCAAACATTTTCGTGAGAGTCACAAGATATTTTTAAAGTTTTTTTTTTTTTTTTCTAAAAATAAGATGGACTCTTAAGTGTCTTACTGAAGCTCTCATGCATCTAATTAACAGGTCAAGGTAAAAGCGAAAATATATGAGAGTCATTTTGAAAGCTCAAAGGTTATGTTAAAAACAAATGATTATCTTGGTGATTCACTATGCGTAACAATTTAAAATGTGAGCAAACACTTACATGCTACATTTCAGGAGAAACATTTTTAAAGTGATCTTCACTTTTACATTTTAATGACTAACTATGATCTACATTATTATATCAGCTCAGAATGTGAAGTGCATTTACATTTTTCCTGGTATCTAATTAATAGCACCTATGTTATTTGATATAGAGAATAAAAAACTCAATTACTCTTAAAGAAGTTTTTCAAGGCTTAGTAAACTCTTTTTAGTCATTGTTCTAAATGCATGGAATAATCTTAAACACAGCAATGCATGCATGCAAAATACTTATATCTAGAGCTTCGACATAATGGACTCTTATGATGGGGGCTTATATCACTAGACTTTGATAAAACACTAATTATGAGATAAGGTAAAAAAATAAAAGTCGGGGTTTCCTGGAAACTGTTTTGGGGACAGATTTAAGAGATTCCATAAAAGTGTCACCATGATACCCCATAATGGTTTACATATGTGAGATGGTCCTATTAGTTCATGTTGTTTTCTGAACCATATAATAAAAATGGAGGAGCACTGTTCCAACAGCAGAAGTTACTTCAGCAAGGTTGGAGGGTTGACTACCATATCCCTCTCTCCCAGTAATTTAACTTATCTTTGTTAGGTCACCTCCATGAAGAGAGGAGAATCAGTGTCCAGTGTTTGCAAATATGTGACATCCATGATTCAGGCTGACCCACTGTAAACTGATCTCATTCCATAATAAAAGGGCAGATACATTAACATAAAAGAATGAAGAAATATTGCTTAAGGCTGACTATATTATGATGTAGAACGAAAGAGTTCACCGCATACTCTGGTCAAAACCACTCTTTATAAACTTTGGGCAATTCAATTACTGTCACAGTATTTTAGCTTCTTTTTGATTTTTTATTTGTTTGTTTGGAAATCAAAAGTTTCCAAAGTGTATGTACCTTTTTCTATTTTTGTTTGTTTGGGCCAATCTCAGCTTAATGAGGAATAAACGAGATGTTTTGAGTTTTCACCAACTGCAGCTTTCAGTCTTTCTCCTCTGCCACTTGATATCTTAGGCACGTTGCAAATCTTGCCAGTTTGGTTATTAAAAGTCTGTCTAGTTTAACACTTTATTCTCAAATTAAATTCAGTCTTCTCTTCTCCCTCCTTTTCTGTACACAGGCTTGTGTGGACTGCTGAGCCTATTCAGTAGACTCTGGATCTGCCCCAAGGGAGGTTTCTGGCACCATTTTTGCCTACATGTAAGGCTTCCTTATCACCAACTTTGGGACTTAGTTGCCGACTTCTAGACAACAAGACAAGTGCCACCGAATGTCCTGTTACATATAAATGATATAGCAATACATACATAGTGGTGCCTCTAAGGTTCAATTTAGAACACACTCCTGTAAACTTTCATTTCTCTCCATTCTGATACACTTGCATTTTACCTCCACCCCCAAAGACAGCAAATGTATAACAGTGAAGAAAAGTTGGATTACCATGGCTGTTACATCTGGATGTCTCCACGAGTCTGCCATTTTGATCGTAGCATGCCATTGCTTGGTAACGATATCCTTGACCACATTCCTTGATGTCTCCTTGTACCTTCATTCCCAGCAACACTTCCACTTTCCCCTCTGGCAAAATGCAGTCTGACCAGTTCCCCACAGGCTGTGCATTATACTTGTCACAGGGACAATACTGCGTCTCAATCAGGGGGTACAAATGAGAATTTTTACATTTTTCCTTCTTTTTACTTTTTCCTGTGGAGAAAATGAAGTTGGAAAATACCATCATTAATATCAAGCATCCCTAAGTTTTCTCCTTTCCTAAACATCCTTTATTTTTAACCATATTCAACAGTAGCCTATAAATAAATGCTATTTTCCCCCTCTGTAGCGCTTTCTATGTAGGCTTTTGTTAACACTGGATGCTTTGCATAGTGAAATTTCTCTTATTTTCTCACTTAAAAATAGCCCATTTTGAATAAGGCACTAACTGTTGTGCTGCTCAAAATGATTAAAATCCTCTCAAATGATCATGTGCTTTCACTGACTGGGGAGTTTGAGGTAACTGCACAATTCTCTCCTTTATAACATGTGCAAAAATAGGAAATGGAGAGAGAGTCACTGCACTGACCTGCACAGTTAAGTAACTCTTTTGTTAAGTCCGAATAGATGGTTTAGTTATACAGGATTACGATTCAGAAAGTGAGGTTTTTGCATTTACTTTTCTGATTGTGATTTTGCATCTTTCAGTATTTCTGAAAAATAATCACTTTGACATACTTGGTGATTAATGTAAGAAATAATAATAATCAAAATTAAGGTATTTAATATCACAATAAAAATATTAGAAATGGTTTGTGTATAAATCGAAATAATTCCCTTTTAAAATAAAAAGACCTTGAGTATAACAGTAATACGTGCCTGGAAAATATCATTTTAATTAGATCATAATTTATATTATGTCATATGTTATATACTTTTAATTATACTGCATGTAACTAATTACATATGTTTTACATATATTTATCTCTAACTTTCATAAGCTGCCTCATATAATTTTCAACAGTCTTCATTATGACAGCTGGATCATTTTACAACTTTAGATTTTGAATACTCTACTAGCACCAATATTTTTAGGTTTCTTTTGCCACTGACAATATTTTTTTTTTTTTTTTTGCGGTCCGCGGGCCTCTCACTGCTGTGGCCTCTCCCGCCGCGGAGCACAGGCTCCGGACGCGCAGGCCCAGCGGCCATGGCTCACGGGCACAGCCGCTCCGCGGCATGTGGGATCTTCCCGGACCGGGGCACGAACCCGCGTCCCCTGCATCGGCAGGCGGACTCCCAACCACTGCGCCACCAGGGAAGCCCAGCCACTGACAATATTTTTGAGTGCATCAGAGTTTAGTTCAATATGATGGCTCCTGTTCCTGCTCGTTATATTACAGCTTTTTGTCATTGTGACTACCTTTTTCAGGTACAGAATTAATGTCCTATTTCTCTTCTAGGATATGAAGGATAATCTGAGGCTGACAGTGAGAATGGCTTAAGAAAGTGAAGTGGCAACCTTTCCCCATGTTCCTAAAAAACTTTTCTCCAAGTGCTTCACTGTCTGTAGGTAATCCACCAAAGGTACATGTTTAAACCAAAAATTAATCTACCGCGTATTGAATAGGGAGACAGAGTTCGGTTTTCAAGGCTACTTTTTCTTTTTACTTTTTCTTTCTACTAAAGGTACATAATGCATCTGTCACTGCCAACTTACATCAAAATACGGCTCTGAATCCATTGCCGTATTCTGTGTTAGTATAACAATAATAACGCATATCTGTGCATTTTCCAAATACATTGTCAGAACTACCTTGGCCTGACTTTTTACTGTGTTTTTCTGCCTTGACAAGTGTTGGCTTTGGCATCCCAATTATTCTTACCAACAATGGTGCGCTTCCTGGTCCTAACTGCACCACAGTCTCCACTGCATGAAGAAAACTTAGACCAGCTGGTAAACTGACAGTCATCTTGGCAGGGGATCTGGCAGGCTTGGGTGAGGGCTGGCACGGGGCCTGCATACCAGAGACACTCATGGATACCAGCCTGTCCACCATCTTGCTTTCGACAAGTAATGGCTAAAGGAAAAGCAAAAAGCTGTTTATCATGAATCTGAACGTCTGTAATTACTCTGTAATTTAGGAATTAACCTAACATTTCTTACTCAGTCAAAGGAGTCCTCTTTTAATTCTTTATTTGCAGCAGAAATCTGGTAGGAGTGTTTTTAGTAATCACAGTAGTCATTAAATTGATCCTATAGGATTTTTAAAGTAACAGATAACCCTCAGACACACACACACACACACACACACACACAGCAGTTTTTATTAGATGCTATTAAGGATTTCAAGTCACATGTGGAATATATTTAGAAATGAATTAAGAGACAAATAAGTAATACATGGGTTCTGATAATAGCTTATGTTGAACTAAACATATTCATGGTGGTGCTGGGAGACACCCCATACCTTTAATAGTTGTTTTCATACCATTGTCCACTCTGGGATTTCTATACAGAAGGGTCTTAATGGCAGCAAATTGGTTGGAAGGTTTGGGTGGAGAGAGAACACTTATGAAACTTGTGAAGCTCCATTTGCATAGAACGCATGTTTTTGTTTTTTAAATTACGCTCAAAGTTTGTTGTGATGGCTTTGAAGTGGTTAGTAGTTAATGGGAGGAGGCGGTGTCAAAGTTCCCCACTTCCCTGTACAAATTCTTCACACACACAAAGAACAACCATGAATTTAAAATGAAGACAAAAACTTTTAGCAATCTTTTTTTTTTTTTTTTTTTTTTTTTT